TCCTGGAGAAAGGACATCAGGTCTGGTAAGGTCGAGGGGCAGCCAATGGGCACGATGGACGACACAGGGGTGCGACGACCGTCTCCAGCGGGCTAAGTGTGAGGCTGGCGCAGGATGGGCGGGGTCTCCTTCCGTCGCTTTGATGGGAAGCCAGGCCACCCCCCAACCAGGGTCTAGTGGGGAGGGGCCCAGGTAAACCGCCGCTGTCCTCTAACCCTTCCGGAAGCAACCCCCCGAAGCGCGGTGACTGACCCGGTCAACAGGCGAAGCAGCCGAGGCTCACGACGGGCCAGCGCACAGGCCTCGCGGAGGCGTCCGGCCTCCACTCGGCTCTGCCGACCCGCAAAAGACAAAGAAACGAGGACACCCCCAAACTGCCACTTGCCCCGCGACGGCGCCTGGGCGCCGACCCCGCAGCCAACCCGCTGAGGCGAGGCCGGGCCGGCCTCCGACGCGTGGCCTCGCAAGGCTCCGGGTTTGGGGAGCCTCCCAAGTCCACCCCGGGGGGTGGGGGCTTCCAGTACCTGAAGTCACCGTCGCCATCTCGCGCCGTTTCCGCTTCGCCGGCCGCTCCGCGTCCATTCCACCCACTGCTCGGAGCCGCCTTTCCATTCGAATTCCAGGAAGCTCCGCCCCCCTCTCAGAATCCACCAATCGCGACTGCGTGCCGCCGGAAGCGCCTATTGGAGACCCGGGACTCTACCGCCCTCTGGTGCTCGGCCCCGGGTCCAGTTAGAGAAACGGCCCCCACCCGAGGGACGCATGCGTGCTCCCGCTACGCCGCGCAGCCGTTGACGTCGGCCCGCCGGGGCCCTGCGGCGCCTATGTCGGGGCCTGGCGTTGGGAGCAGTGGTCGCTAGGGGAGCTGCTGAGCCCGTCTTTAACCTGCGAGCTCATCCTTTTCGGGGCGGGGGTTTGGATTCCCCCCACCCCTCTCTGCAAATACAGCCATGCATTTTGGTGCGAACCAAGCAGAAAGCAATGAAAGGCCCTTAATCGATTCCTCCAAAATTTTCTCTGAGCTGGGTACGCTTTTCACTCAATTAAGTGGCAAGACACCAGCCACACTCCCCGCCATCGAGTCCACTAGGGTGACCCCAGCGGTTGTTCTAGGAATGCTGGAGAGGTTTTGCCTGGAGACCGAATTGTCCCAAACCACGGGTGGTGGTCTTCTCGTTCAACGTTTTCTTCACTCAAGAAGTTCCTTCTGATTCTGGATTTGTGGGTTACAGAGCTCTTGATCTGTGGATTACAGAACTTGATTTCAATGCCAGTCAACTGTACTTCCACCTCCATTCCAAAAACCCAAACTCACTGCCATAGACTTGATGCTGGCTCATAGCGACCCTACAGGACCGGGGAGAGCTGCCCCTTTGAGTCTCCCCGTCTTTCTCCCACACAACGGCTGGTGGTTTCAAACTGCTGGCCTTGCCATTATCAGCCCAGCAACTGCGATGCCACCAGGACTCCTAAAGTCTGTTGAACTGTCTATCATTCTAGCATCCACTGAGCCCAAGACCACTGTGTGAGGTGTAGAAGCCAGGTGGCCTTTCTGTCCCTTTTGTCTATTTCAGGGTAAAAAAGAGACCCCTCAATCTCAAATATAATTTAGCGAGACCATTCATTGTGTTCAAAGAGACCAAGACACAGACACATGATCAGGATCAGGGAGACCATTCGAACAAGGGGAAAATGGAGTGCAAGGGCTCGTTGAAATACAAAGCTTCAAGAAGGCCATGGGAGGGGAAAGGAAAGTGTCACAAAAGCATGATTGGTGGCAGATCAATACATCACAGTGACAGTTGGGACCACAGAAGCAGAAATGGGATCGTGAGTGGGACACACACATTGTTAGATGGAAGGGCTTACATCTTGGTCCAGGATCTTCCAACCCCGACAGGGCGAAACTCGTAGGACTATGAGATCTCTCTCAGGGACACACCACAGACCCAGGCAAACCCCTAAGAGAGAGACTGCCCCTCCATGGGCTGGTTTGAGATGGGTGGAGGTAATCAACTTTCCAAGGCAAGATCATATCCTTGTTCCATGACTGTCACCCAGAGCCTTCTGAAACTCAGGGTGCTCAGAACTCAAGTTCTAGTACATGTTGCATGTCTGAGCCCAGCACTGATAACCCAGCACCTAGCCTATGGGGGTGAGTGTTAAAAGTATGCTGGGTCATCCATGTACACTGCCCCGTGTCCTTTGAGAAGCCTCTCCAGAGATGAGTATTCTCTCCTCTTTGAAAGCCTGGTCATGCCCAATGTATACATTATGCTCCAACTCCTTAAAACATAAGTAATAGAGCAGTGGCTTTCATACGTTTTGGTCTATAGGCCCTTTTAAATCTTAAAAACATCTTCGTTTTATATTTGTTGTAGGGCAAAATTCCAGTCTTTTGAAAGTCAAAGCAAGAGAAGTCTAAAGCACTTTGTGAATTGTGGTGGCATCGAACAAACACACACAGGGTTGGCACTCCGGTCAGCAGGAGCTAAGGAGAGATGTTGACAGGCGAAAAGCAGCAACTTCTCAACAACAGTCCGCTTGGTTGAACACCCAGCTCCCCAGGCTCCTCCTGACTTGAGTATTAAGCATAGCGACATTCTTGCAAAGAGTTTTTTTTTTTTTGGACGATTCCAACTTGGACTTTCACAAACTTGTCTAAGCATGCCTGGGTTTGCCTGGAATTGTCTCAGAGCCACATTGCCTGTTCAGGAAACTATTGGCATGAATACGAGGGTTATAGCTTTACAGTAGAAGGAGCACAAACAATGGGAGTTTGCTTTGTCACCGCGTATGTGCCCAGTCAGACAGATCGGCCACCTGGCTTCTATACCTCACACAGTGGTCTTGGGCTCAGTGTACTCTAGAATGATAGAGAATTCAACTGATGTTAGACCCCTGGTGGCATCGTCGTTGTTTGTCTGTTAACTGCAAGGCCAGCAGTTTGAAACCACCAGCCGTTGTGCAGGAGAAAGAGGGGAGACTCAAAGGAGCAGCTCTACCTGGTCCTGTAGGGTCGCTATGAGTCGGCATCAAGTCTATGCAGTGAGTTTGGTTTTTTGGAATAGGGTTGAACCACGGCTGACTGGCATTGAAGCCCAGCTTTGTCCCCGCATTAGCCGTTTTCTGATGCTAGCCACCCCAGATTCTAAGTGCCCTCACACACTTAAAAGTAGAAATGAGCGGGGAGAGAGGGGAAAAATGAGGACTGAATGCCGGGGGGTTTAAGTGGAGAGAAAGTGTTTAGAGAATGATGAGGGCAATGAATGTACAAATGCGCTTTACACAATTGATGTGTATATGGATTGTGATAAGAGTTGTATGAGCCCCTAATAAAATGATTTTAAAAAAATCCAACCAAACCCAAAAAAAGTAGAACTGAGACCTGAGACAAAACAGTCTATAGAACTAAGAGAGAATCCATTCACGCCTCGGCCAGTCTTTTTTATTAAAAGATCATTTTATTGGGGACTCGTTACACTCCATACATCGATTGCATCAGGCATGTTTGTACATATGTTGCCTTCATTCTTTTCTAGACATTTACTTTCTTTTTAAAAAAAATCATTTTATTAGGGGCTCATACAACACTTATCACAATCCATACACACATCAATTGTGTAAAAGCACATTTGTACATTCATTGCCCTCATCATTCTCAAAACATTTCCTC